ATCTCCTCATCTTTCTCAGCCAGCTTCCTGTCAATTTCACCCTTGACCTGGTTGAGCTCCAGCTGGACACGTAGGATCTTAGACTCCTCATGCTCCAGTGTGGCCTGTAAAATTAATTGTTATGTAAAATAAAAATACAAAACATAAGTTCTGTAGATAGTGAATTAGCTTTGATTTTCTTTGTCTTTGAATAAATTACCTCAGCTTCCTCTAGAGCAGTCTGGATTTCTGTCTTTTCAGTCTCTACAGTTTTCTTTCCCTTCTCCAACTCATGAATGGTCTTTCCAGTTTCACCAATTTGTTCTGTCAAATCTGAGATCTCCTCTGTATGACGATGAGGAATTATTAAAACAGGGACCTATATATATTCCATGGCTTTTGAATTGTTTTTGAATAATCAGTGATTTTTCCCTTCATTGTACCTCAAATGAAGTCAGAATGATTATACTAATTACTGTAATATAATATTAAATCTGAAAATCTGAATAACATGCAGTGGACATACGCTGCAGGTTCTTGTTCTCTCTCTTCATGGTCTCCAGGTGGTCCAGAGTTTCCTCATAGGAGTTCTTCATCTTGAACAGTTCAGTACTGAGAGAACGAGCCTCTTTCTGAGCCCCTTCCAGCTCTGCCTGACTTTCCTCATACTTTTGCTTCCATTCTGCCAGGACCTGAAAACATGAAACATACAAGACAGTGAGAGTAGCTGAGATTTCAGATAGTGCTTTTTAGATCCCAGCTGGTGAGAAAGTGAAGCCAGAGGTTGTATTATAATAAGGGTTGCTAACTAAGAAAAGTTATTAGGAGATATTGTACCTCTGTTAGATTTGTGGTTCACTACAGTTTATTTATATCATAATATACAGTATATGGTAGGAACCAACCTTATCAAAGTTCCTTTGTTTTTTGTCTAAGTTGGCAGCTAATGCATTTGCTCGTTCTACATCAATCATGAGGTCCTCCACCTCACCCTGCAGTCTCTGTTTGGTTTTCTCCAGAGAAGCACATTTGGCATTGACAGCCTCAATAGATTCCTCTGCATCCTGGAGACGCTGAGCAAGCTTTTTCCTGTAGAGAGTGAAATTTTAGTTCTAGCTGAATTATTTTTACATTTATTTATGGAGTTAAGTGAAGATGTAGAGTCAGTGTAGTTACTTGGCTTCCTCAAGCTCCTCAGTACGCTGGATGGCATCAGTCTCATATTTGGTCCTCCACTGAGCCACCTCACTGTTGGCCTTGGACATTCCACGCTGCAGTTCAGCCTTGGCCTCCTGCTCCTCCTCATATTGTTCTCTGAGGAGGTCACAGTCATGGCGAGCTGATTGCACAGCGTGGGCCAGAGCATTCTTGGCCTAAAACATACATGTCAGTGGTACTTAATGTTTTATTACTAAACTGTTGTGATCACCACAACATCTGTTCCTAGTGAAATGCCCTTTTTTTCTGCATCAGAATCAATTTTTCCTGCTTACCTTGACTTCCTCTTCAATATGCCTCTTCAGCTCCTCAATCTGCTGTGTGTAGGCCTGTTTNCATTCATTTCATAGCAGTGGGTAGCAGTTAAAAACAGGCTGATGGATATGGACTAGTTGAATGAGGACTTATTGTTGAGTCTCTAAAACAGTCATTGAATTAAGTGACTTTTGTAGGTAAAATTACGTGTTTAACAACCTGTTAAAAATACACCAGAATGCAGGAAATGGCATCTAATTCATAAAAAAATTTCTGGGGGAAGGTCCCCAGACCCCCCACCAGTGTCCCCCCCACACATTCAATGCTTCTGACGCTCCTGCCTGAATAGGATAAGCGGTTTCAGAAAATGGATGGATGGATGGATGCATGTAATTACCTCAGCTTCCTCTAGAGCAGCCTGCATTTCTGACTTTTCTGCCTCCACTGTCTTCTTGGCCTTTTCAAGCTCATGGATGGTCTTTCCAGTCTCACCGATTTGTTCAGTCAGGTCTGAGATCTCCTCTGAAAAATTAAACAAAACATATTGTAGGCAGTAGATTATAATCATTATAATAGAATGACATGAATCTGTTTCATATTGATGATTAATTAATTTAATCTAAAGATCAGGACTTCAGTCTGATATTCAGTATTACTAATCTCATGTTCCTGAAATCCGAGTTTATCAGAATCAATATGGAAACATACGCTGCAGGTTCTTGTTCTCTCTTTTCATGGTCTCCAGGTGGTCCAGAGTTTCCTCATAGGAGTTCTTCATCTTGAACAGTTCAGTACTGAGAGAACGAGCCTCTTTCTGAGCCCCTTCCAGCTCTGCCTGACATTCCTCATACTTCTGCTTCCATTCTGCCAGGACCTGAAAACATGAAACATGCAAGACACTGAGAATAGCTGAGATGCCAGGTCAGAGAGATAAGTTGGGGCCAGGCCATTTAATGCTTTGTATGCAAACAATAAAATCTTAAAATCAGTGCTGAAGCGCATTGGGAGTCAGTG